ATTGAGAGATTTTTGCTCGGACAAATAAAAGAATATCATCTACAAAAAAAAATGGACAAGAAAAAGGGAATTCTCCTTTAGAAATTCAAACAATTTTCATTGTTTTTCATAAAGCTCTTGATTAATTATAGCTCTCAATCTCTCCGTACACAACACAAATAAATAGGGTGGGAGGAAACGCCTTGTCTAAAACCCTTAACAAAAGCAAAACTCTTCATTTTATAACTATTCTGCAATAAGAAAATATCAACACTATAAGTGTCAAGCATAATTATAAAAAAAATAAAAATAAATAAAAATAAATAAATAAAAGTTAAGCAAATCCAAACTATCTAAAATTTTGACATAAGAACTCTAAATCAACTCGACCTTAAACCATATGCTTTCTCCAAGTCTAACTTAAAAATAACACCACTTTCTTTCTTTTTAGATTTATTCATGTGATATATAGCCTCTTGCAAGATAATAGGATTATCCTTTGTGACTCATCTTGAAATAAAGTTACTTTAAAAAAAGTTCATGATATCATAAAGAAAAGGCCTTGCCTTATTGACATGCACCTTGAAAATTAGTTAATAAACAACATTGCATAAGCTTATAGGATGAAATTAGTAAAAATAATTGGAGCATCTCCTTTGGAAATTAAAACGGGTAATATTTCATAAATACTATAATCAAACCTCCCTCTATAAGCATTTTCAACAAAATGCCAATACCATTTTCAACAAAATGCCAATACCAGCACTTATCTCATGCTATAACATTTTGAAAAATATATGTTGGTATTCGTCCAGTCGTATACTAGGAAAACCTCATTCTAAATAAAGTCGAGTGAACTTTTTCTTTAGAAACAAGCTTAATAAAAGCTCAACAACATGTTTGTGTATTGCACAAGTTAGAATAGTAGCTTTTTGTAAATAAAAAAAAGTAACATTAATTTAATTATTTAAAATTTACAAATTAAAAAATAGCCATATTGCATAATTTTTTTTATGTAATTACTTTTCTTGAAATTTAAATAATTTTATAATATATCAATGTTATAATTATTATTCAAATATTTTTCTTTTAAAGAAAAATTTGTAAAATAAATATTCACATTAATATTTTAAAATACATATTTTACATGTCCAAATTATTATAATTATATATAAGATAAAATGTTGAATGTTGTACGCACAATTATATATCTATATTTTGTAATGACTCATTATGGTGTCTACACTTAACAACTTACGAATAATAGCATAAAAATAACTAATAACTTAGAATTATATATTTACATATATGTGAATGTGTATTATATATCATGCATATAAAAGTAAAACAACTATATAAATATGTGTATATAGATACAATAATCCAGTAAAAGTAAATTATACAACTTAAATTGCTAGTTAAACAATTTTTATACAAAGTACTATATAACAGTAACACCAAAATACATAAATGACTTCACCATCTACTTGATGAACTTCTCTTTATAGCATCTCACCCCTATCCCTACTCTGTTCCCATATCATGTATGATCATCTTAATCCAAATCACATGGAAACACGTAAGGGTAAGCTATAGTATCTAGAAGAAACAACATATATATGACACAGAGTATAAACAACATGGTACATCATCACATCTTAGAATAGTAACACCAATCTCAACACATTCAACACTATCAACATGTATGCCACAAATCAACCAACACTATCAATTTAAACAATTCATTACACTACAACACAATATCATCTTGCACACCACTACACCGACAACTCACTTTTTTAACACAATAACTATATGCATTGTCATGCATTTTAAGTAGGAGATCTACTACAATACAGGATAAATAATTTAAGTGACTTGACCTTACCGAACCAACAACATATGGTGATATTTTTGACTTGCTAGATCAACAAAATTTTGGATATTCATCAATAACACAACAATTTGGTCTCTCAGATGTTGTCACTTAAACAAAGAAATTTAGTATTATTGTCTAAGTATAATAACTAAATATATATGTCTACCACGATATTAACTAGCTTAACTAAGCCTCATATGTGATTAACCTACCGACTACCCTCTAAATAATACACTTTTTGATACTCGATTAGAAACTAAGTTATCGGTTTCATACTTTACTCAATTAGTCACTTGTAATCAATATAGCTTGAATTGGTTCCTATATTATAGTCGCTTCATACATGTGTGCCTCGACTTTGCCCACATACGATACCAACTATGGTCCTAAAAGAGACTCAATCGTCCTCTTCAAGGGTCAACTCTATAAGAAGGGTTTTCAACAAAACTTGGACTATTAAAGTACCGCAACAAAATGTTTACACGATGAGATAAGGTAAAGGCCCTTATGACCTCACGCTTGGTGTGGCAAAGTACCACGTTCGACCTCATTTTAGACAAAGAGTCTCTACCTGACTCACGTCTAGCATCACCATACTAACACTCGACGTAATCTAAGTAGAGTTTTGGCTTGGCCACACTGGGCGTCACTCGAATAGAGCCTAATGTCACCAAGTTAGGGACCTCCCAACTTTTTTTCACCTAGTGCCATTCATGTCACACCCGATATCGTTTCAACTTAAGACAAGTCTTTCTTCTCAGACCTAACACCACTAATCTTGCTCCCAGCGTTACAAGACAAAGAACCCCATGTTGAAATAGCACTTGACGCAATGCGAGTTCTACACTTATGCAGATCATGAATTCTGCTCAATCCGCACGAAACTCAGTAACTTCCAAGCATGCAACACTATAAAACAACTAAATACATCATAACCAACATATAGATGCACTCAAGTTCAACATGCAACAATTATAAATCAAATCACCATCTTTTATTCCAACATGCTTCAAAACTCAAAAACCTAAATTGGGTCATTCTACTTAAATCATGCAACTCAGTAGCAACTTGAATTGAAATCAACCACAACAATGCAACAACTTCACAATATTAAGAATTTTAAACTTTTCTTACCTCAAAATCAAAGAGAATTGAGGAAGAGAAGAGAAGAAGAACACCAAGCTACCCCATGTCTACTCTGAACAAATTACTACTCGAATTCAAGGTTCTACTTACCTAGAATCACAACAACACAAGTTACGTGAGATTAGGGAAAAATAAACATTTTACAAAAGAGGTTTGTGAGAAAAATGAAACTTATGGACCAAAACACTTCTTTCTACAATTCGTTTCTCTAAGTTTTTGAAGAATTAAAATTATGAAGCTTTATTCAAAATAAAAATCTTATATATTCATTCCCTTGAGGTTAAGTTGATCTCTTGTATATATAAACCCCTAACACTACAAAAACTCACAAGAAGTTCTCAGATTCTAAAGTTTCTCAACATAAAACAATACTTCAACACAACAACCAACATATAATTAAAACAATTACAACACTTTACAACTTACAATGTTACATATTTTATATGAATAAATAATATATATATATATATATATATATATATATCTATATATACATATAATGTTATATTGTATTAAAATATAATATTATGTATAAAAAAAATGGGAGGAAAAAAATTTATTTTATTATGTTACTTTTCACCCTAATTCTCTAAGATAAAAATGTCAATTAGATATAACAAATATAGTTATTACAATTTATTTGTATAATAAGTAATTAATTATAACATGATAAAATAATATTTTTTTTAATTTTGTCCACTGAAGATACTTTAAAATTTGTTAAGTTAAAATTTTGTAGTGAGGATTATAATTTTTTTATTATTGATAAAAAATATTTTTCTCATTAATTACATTAAGTCAATTAATTCTTATATATTAAATACAAAGTCCTATTTGTGTGCGACAATGCGAGTGTTTTTAAGTAATTTTCTCTATAAAAATATCTTAAAAATCTTTTAAATATCTATTTATATAAAATTTAAATATAATTTATGTATTAAAATATAATATTTATTTATATATAATTTATAATAGATTTTAGTTATAAATAATAAAAGAAATTATCCTATTTGATGTCCATATTTTTATAATCTTATCCTTATAATTATCTTTTTATAAATTACAATTATTTTTATATTTTACTTCATAATTAATGTTATTTTTAATAATTATCAACTATTATATAATATTTATTATTTTTAAAATAATTAATGGAAACATGTACAACTCGCGAAACACTTTTTTTTATATTAATTTATACCTATCATAAATGAGATAGGTATGTAACCGTTTTTAGTCTTCACTTTTAAGTGATTCGTTAATCCATTATATTGTTTGAATGTAATGTTTTTTTAATCTTTTTAAATAATTATACACAATCTTTTAATATTTTGTTTGTATATAATTATTAAATATTTTATTTGTATATAATTATTAAAGATATGAAGTGCCTCAATCTTTTTGTATATAATAAATATTTGAGTTAATCATTTATATATTGTCAGTATAAAATTTTTTTACATTGACAATCAATTACATATTTTAATTATGTCATGTTACTGTTAAAAATAAATGTATTTATAGTAACATGATATAATTAAAAGATGTAATTAATTGTGAGGATAAAAAGCTTTACACCTAAATATTTTACATGTACACCGTAGAATCGTAGAATCTGAAATACCAGTACAAATTACATCATGCTAAACCTAATCAGTTTTTTTTTTTTTAAATAAAAATTTTAAAAAATAAGCATGAGTTAGAAACGACAGCTGTAAATAATACAGATATTTATGTTCATGCACGGCGCGGATCCAGTGTATCTTGAAAGGCAATTTCTTACCTGAACTACCTAACAATGCTCGACACGTGTCCACAATAATTGAGCCACAGCAATTCCATGAAGGAATCGAACCAATAATACAAGCTCGAAACATCCCACTGGGGTAACCGAAAACCCAAGCAGGCGGTAAAGGGCGGTTCAATCCGGGTCACGCAATTCATAAAATAATTCGAAATCCCAACCCCATACCTCTATAAATAACAGCCATTTGTGCCCATTCCTTTTCGCATTCAACTCATAAGAGAAGAAAACCCTCTCTCTCTAAAGCGATTTCCACCTTTCTCTCTCTAAAAATGGGAACAGCCATCCTCCGTTCCCACGATTGCCTCCAAGGCCGCTTTCTCCCCAATGAAGCCTTCGCAATTGCCACGTCACGCGTCGCGTCGCGGAGAACCTCTAACCCTAACCACACCCTCGCCGGTTCAGCCTCCCAGACCCGCCGCCGCAGGCGGAGTCCGGTCGCTGATCGAGATCGCCGTAGGTCGCCGCCCAAGGCCCCTTCGCCGGCCACCCTCGTCATGGGACAGGTTAAGATCCTGAAGCGAGGCGAGAAACTGAGCCTGCACAATAATAACAATAATAATAGCATCAACGGCAAGACCGAGGTGGGCCTGGATTTGTTATTGGGCTCGACGGACAGATTGGGCCCGGATCCGTTAACCGTGCAGAAGCAGATTAGGGTTTCGGATTCAGCCAACGGTGTCTACGCGGGATCAGCGTTCGTTTCGTCGCCGCATCCGAGCTCCGTTCCGGTCCCGGGATTTTTAGGGCGGAACGGCGCCGCCACCAGCGATTTGCGACGGTTGTTGCGGCTCGATTTCGAATGAATAGTTCGGTTTGGGTTTTCGGATATTACTTTGTATTTGGAAATGACGGTTAGGTGATGATGGATGATTGGTGCTCGCATGGTCTCTGACGCGCTTCCTTTATTTTTTCAAGAGGATTGGCGCAGAGTGCGAGCGCGTGAAGGAACGTCGAAAGCAACGCGAAGGTTTAGGGGTGGAGATTTGATTAGATAGGTAGTGGCACCGTTAGTTAACTCCGGTAATGATAGAAGGCTTGGGATAAGGAATAGAATTGTTGGTTTGATATGTGTGGATCTAGAGTGTGTAATAGTTGGGGTTTCTTTATTCATGTGGTAGAAGAAGAATGTTTGATGTGAGTTGTGTGTGGTTTAGGTGGTGTTTGTGTGATTTTCTCTTATAATCGTGCTCTTATGATGTAGTTGTTCAAATCTATAAGTAATACATCAGCAAAGTTTTTAGTATTAGCTTTACTGTGCCTTCTGTGATGAGGTTATTCAATTTCGTGTATGGATTTCTCGAGCATCGTGAATTTGAACGTTTGGATTTGATTTGTTGCATAGTTTACGATTTTAGTGCCTGATTAGGGAGTGCTTTTTGTTTCCTAGGTTTCATTTTATTTTGATTTGCCCTTTTATGAATTAATTTGAAATGGTGTCACTGTGCTAGAATGTTTTTAGGGATCTGGAGGAATCGATTTCCAGACAACTGAGACAAGCAAAATACATTTTATTCGGGTGACTTATTTGATTTCATGGGGTCGTTAGTGAGGTTAACTGCCATGTTTTTGGAATAAGAAAAGGATCTCATTTATGTTTAATGTGTTGATTTTATTTCCCAAACAGGTATTTTAAATTGAATCTTTGGGAGGAGTGGTACTTGATCTGTTTGCTTTCTCACTTTATCCTAGTGTTTCATTCGTTTAATTATTTTGAATTTGCAGAAAATCAATTTGCTAGAGTTTTAGTTTCTATATAGCATGGTTGATAGATGGTTTAGTTCATTAAGCATGTTGATAGAAATTTAATTTTCTGATAGTATATGAAATAATATTATTTTGGAAGAGATAAATTCACACATTTGTCATTTCTATACTTCTACTTTGGTTCACACAATATAAAACAAAGGAGTTATAGTTCCTTGCTGGGTGTGGGGGTTTTTCCTACTTTCTGGCCATTTTACTTTGGGTGTGGGTAAGTTGGATTCCTAGTTAAAGTATATATAAAATTTAACTAGACAGAATTTTCCGAAATCATCAATCTTTATGCATTTTCCCAGAAATTCGTTAAAAGCTGCTTATTCTGTGTGATATAACGGCTAAAGGGGATGGGAAACTAAACTCATAATTAAGTCATGATAAACTTTGCTTTAGTTTTAGTTAATGGTTTTGGTGGGTGAAGTTTTCATGTTTAGTAGTGATTGTTATATTGTGTTATTGGCAACAAAATTATTACTCTATCTAAGAGTTGTTCATAAAATAATTTCAAAAATAAATATTAAATTCTTTGGTAATTGGTGGAAGGGTTTTAAAAAAAGTTTAAATTCTTATAATTATTGTACATGCAGGAGATGTTAAAATTTTATGGGTTTGGTCCATTTGGAGTTTGGACTTGAGTTTTTAAAAAAGGATTAGTAGATTTGATTTATAAAAATGAATTAACTGGATAATTTGAAAGGTCATGAATTCGGGAATTGTCATGCATATTGTATAAATGTGATAAAAAAGGGATGACCTAAAGTTTATGTTTTAGTGATAGTTAACAAAATATAAGAATGCATTTAAATAGAAAAAGATTAATTCTGTTTTATTCATCTTATCAAGTTCTCATCTACTCAATTACAAAAGGATCATATTCATAAGTTGAAAACTGCTGCAAGGCCAACAAGGCATCAGCCAGCCTTAGGTCCCTTTCAAGTTTTTAATATATATATAT